TGCAGAGTACCATACTACCTTCAAGAATTCTTCCCACACTTCCTGCACTCGAAGGACATTAAGGAGAACTGCAGCAGGTCTACCAGTAAACAAACTAAAGGGTTAGTGGAGGAAGTAAAGTATCCAGAATTTCCTCACAGGAATGATGAAAAATAGCGCAACAGAAGCTTGGAACACCCGTGGAGTAATCATCAAGTAATAAGCTTTGCTAATAAGCAATAATATAAATATTATCATCAGGGGGTGAATACTGAGAAGATGTATTACTGACGAAACGATATTAAATTAGAACTGTGAAAACCGCATTATACAAAAGAAACAACAAAATCATTTCGCTTTGACAATATTTTCGAAACCTCGATCTTTAATATCCTTGAAGGACTCCAAATTAACTGATGGCAAAACTTCTCGTATTATTCCGCGTGCAACTGTCTGCTTACTACTCTGTCGTATCGTAAAAGGTACTGACTGCCTCACAGGCATCTCCTTCTCCAGTACTAGGTAGGCAGTACAGTGTTCTCCTGGCATAAGCATATCCGTCTCTAACTGAATACGACCAGCCTGAATTTTAAGTCAGTTATAGACACCACTAAAGAATATAAAAAAAAATACCTAAACGAAAAAGCCCACGCAAAATTTTTATCAAAAAATTAAGTTTACTTAAAGACCTTTATCGAAAAATTATGTTATCATTAAGAGTTCAAGAAATTTAGAAGCAGCAAACCTGATCCCAGGTACTACAAAATACTTTTTCTGTAAAACCGGAACGTATCGCTGAAGTCCTTCCACCTTCCTTCTCCGCCAGTAAATATAACTCAATCTATAATCCAAAAATCTTTTAAAATAAGTATTTTCCGTACGATTGTAAATTGGTACACTAACCCTGCAATCCCTAAACAAACGCATGATGCTGAAACAGGCTCTGTTCGATGAATCTGTACAGCACCGTATCGCACTGTACATTCAATAGAACATGAGGAAATTTCAAAGCTGCGTAAAAAAAGAGGCTGCAAATTACCTTGAAGGAGTTTGAAGTGGCAATTGTGCCAACGGCCCCTGCCCACATGCCCCGCCT